TGTTGGAGAGGATGAAACCAAGTTTCTCCTTGGAAGCAAGGATTTTGAAGCTGTCTCACATACTTTGGGCACATGGCCAGGAAGGATCAGTCCTTGGAGAAGTGATGCTTGGAATAGTGGAGGGCAGGGTAGGAGAGGAAAACCCCAGATGAGATGAATTGATAGTGACTGAGGTAATGGAGGGAAGGTGTTGGAGACAGTGGAGCTGGTTCAGGATAATGCAGGGTTCAGAGCTATTATAAATAGGGTCATACTGAGTCGTAGGTGACTCAATGGCATGTAACACCAGGCCTATTCTATGTATGTATGTTTTCTGGTAAATGGTTCCAAGATATTTGGGACTAATTGTGGGGATGGAGTTGAGTACCAGAAGAATACCACGAAATGTTTGTCCATCAGATCTTGATTTAGCTGTCATACAGTTCCCTTAAAATATACTCAAAATACTACTCCCACTGCCAACAAGTTGATTCTGACTCACAGTACCCTTCCACCAATTTTTTTGTGGCAACCTATCACTTCTTCAGAGATGTACTTTAACCAAAAGATTAGCACTGAAATCTATTACACACTGCATTACTAGGGTTCCTTATCTTTTAATGAAAGTTGAGAGACTTAGGGTTTCCATTCATTCTTAAGCTTTTCTTCCTGTCCAACCCCTGCCCGCAATTTGCTCTTCTCTTTGAAAATAAAAATTGCGTATTATACAATCTCTCCCCCACAAGTCCACTGCACTGTGTAGCCTTCATTCTGGACTTGACCATGACAATACCTAATCATGTATTGCTTTTAAACAGTTCTCTCCCTCATCTGTTTCAATGCAGTATATTTATCCCCTCTTTTCTTAGGTTCCCCCAACCCTGTTGTCAGTCCTGTTTTACAACAGTGGCACTATGTATGCAGTATTTGTCATTTTGTGACAGATATTTCACTCATAGAATGTCCTCCAGGGTTATCTTTTTTTTTTTAATGAACATTTACAGAGATTTTGTATTTTCATTCATTGTTACACTTTTTTCTTTATCCCCAGGGTTATCCATTTTGTGTATTTCATGAGTTCTTTGCTTTTCAATGCAGCACAGTATTCCATTGTATGAATATACCACAGCTTCTCTCTACCTATTCATTTGTTGATTGGCACTTGGGTTGTTTCCAACTCTTTGCTATTATGAACAAAGCTACAATAAACATGGTGTGCATATATCTGCTTGGGTGGTGGTTATGGTTTCTTTATGGTCTATTCCCAGTAGTAGAATTACTGGGTCAAATGGTATTTCTATTTGCAACTTTTTGAGAGTGCACCATATGCCTTCCATAGTGGTTACACCATTTGACACTCCCACCAACAGTGAATGAATTCGTTTCTCTACAACTTTGCTAGCTATTGATGTTTGCTGTTCTGTTGAATTTTGCTATTCTTACTGGGGTGAGATGGTACCTCATAGTTGTTTTCAGGGCTCCTTATCTTAAAACAGTGTCCTTTGCCCATTTTGTCACTAGGCTATCAGACCTTTTGTTGTGGAGTCCTGTATTATTCTATAAACTTTCCTTCAGAGACCCTTCTCTGAAATGTTATTGCCAAGTGTTTTTTCTCAGTCTGTGGACTTTCCCCTCTCCAACTGGAAAAAGATTTTGATGCACAAAGGAAATGATTTTTAAATTTCATTTGTCAATTTTATCTTCTCCTGGTTGCACAATGGTGGCTGTAATTACATATGTAAGACTAACACTTCTAAGTTTAGTCCCATTTTTTTTCTCTTACGATCTTTATGGTTTTTGGTTTTATCTATAGGTCTCTGAGACACCTTGAGTTGGTTTCTGAGTATGGTATGAAATGTGCGTCGTTTTCTACATTTCCTCAATAGGTCTTTTTTCCCCCCAAATTATCAATTGACTGTAGTTAGATGGACTGATTACTTGGTTCTCTATTTCACTGAATTATGTCTTGCCATCATATCAATACCATGATGTTTGCATTGCTACAGCTGTGGAGTCGGTTTTGAGATCAGGTATTGTGATGTCCTCACTTCATCTTTATTTTTCAGAAAAGCTTTCTTTGGAGTTTCTTTCCTTTTCAATCTCCTTGAAAAATTTAGTCTCTGTATTGGGGTTGTGTGCAACATGTAGACTGCTTTTGGTAGGACTGCCATTTTCACAGTGTTGAGACTTCCGATGCATGCACAGGGATTATTTTTCCATTTAGTTAGGTCTTTTGTTGTATGTTGTAGTAGTGTTCTGTAGTTTTCTTTATAAAAATCTTTTGTGTCTCACTTTGGTTTATTCCTAAGTATTTCATCTTGTGACTGGCTACTGTAAATGGCAATGCTTTTCTAATTTCCTTTTATATGCTTTTTTTTGTTGCTGTAGAGAAATCCAACTGATTTTTCTATGTTGCTTTTGTATCCTCCCAGTCTACTAAGTTATTCTACTAGGTCTAGTGATTTTTTTCTGTTGAGTCTTTTGGGGTTTTCTGTGTTCACTGTATTTTTGCAAATTTGGATAACACAATAACAAAATGGGCAAAAGACTCTTCACAGCAAAACAAAACAAGATGAAAACAAACTAAGACTTCACAAAGGACATTCAGATGGTCAACAAACATTATTAAGAAATGCTCAAAATGAATGGCAATCAGAGATTCAAATCACTCCAATAGCAGTAACAAAGTTTAACAAAACAGCAAGCAATAAATGTTGGAGATGATGTAGAGAGACTGGAATTCTCATGCACTGCTGGTGGGTCTGTAAAAATGTTACAATCATTCCCGGAGGCTGCGCTGGCGGCCTCGGGGGCGTTTCCGATGCTGTTTACCGGTGCGGGTGGTTGAAGGAACTAAACCCGAGTCATCAGCTGTATAATGAATCCCAATATGAAGCAGAAATGTGAAGGACTCCAAGAGAATATAAAGGATAGTCCTTTCCCAAGAAGAACTCTGAAGATGATTCAGCCTTCAGCTGCTGGATCTCTTGTTGGGAGAGAATGTTGAGTTGGCCAAAGGCATATACAAAAGAAAACATGGAACTGGCCAATTAACATCTAAGACTTCCAGCCCTGAAGTTGTTAATGCCCCAGAATATAATGAAAATAAAAATCTTGGAGGAGTCAACCAGGAAGCATTTGATCTTATGGTTAAAGAAAATCCATCCTCTCAGTATTGGAAAGAAGTAGCAGAACAACGAAGGCAGGCTCTCTATGAAACTTAAGGAAAATGAGAAACTTCATAAAGAAATTGAAGAGAAAGACAGTGAAATTGCTCGCTTGAAGAAAGAGAATAAAGAATTGGCAGAAGAAGCACAGCATGTACATTATATGGCAGAGCTGATTGAGAGACTGAAGAATGAACCTCTGGGTAACTTTGAATCATCGAGCAGTCAGGAATTTGAGTTGGAAGAGGAAACTGATGAAGATTCAGAAGTGGAAGACAGAAATTGTATCTTCCTCTACAGATTCAAAACCATGTACATGAAATTGTTTAACATTTGATTCTTGACAAATACACTGCCAAAGTTTACCTCCATTATAGTTCTTTGTAACAGAGTAAATAATCAGACTGACTTGTTTGAATCCTGAGACTGTTGTTGTATTAAAATATAAATATTACCTAAAAAAAAAAAGTTACAATCAGGGGGGCTCTGGTGGCCTAGTGGTAAGGAGCTGCAACTATAATCCCAGAGGCGCACGGTTCGAATCCACCAGATGCTCTGCCGGGGAAGGAGGGACAATCTCCTGTACCAGTCAGATCTGATTTGACGGTACACTCACACAAAAATAAAAAAAAAACACAAAACATGTTACAATCATTATGGAAGGTAGTTTGGCATTTCCTCAGAAAGCTGAACCTAGAGATCAATCCCATATGACCCAGTCACTCCACTATGGGGAATACACCTCAAGGAAATCAGAGCTGAGACTCAGAGATAGGTACACCTATATTCATAGCAGTATTATTCAAAAGCCAAAGGACAGAAAAACTGTGAATATTTACACAGTGGAATACTAAGCAGCACCAAGCAGTAAGTACTCGTAATGTACGACATAACATGGAGAGTCTAGCAAGCAGAAATGCAATAGGCAAAGAACACTACAAGGACCAAGAATAGGGTGCAACAATCTGGGAAGAATTGAGATCAAGACAATATGGCTATTGCAGTTAGATGAGGGGAACAAGCTAGCTAGCTATATATATCTATCTGTATCTGTTTAAAAGTGGTGAAAGGGGAGAAGGAATAGGCAGAAGGAAGGGGACAATCATTAGGTCAAAATGATTACTAGGGGATTGTTGGGGGAAATAGGTAAGATGCAATTAGGACTTGAAGATACAGGAGGTAAAAGCAACAGATCAACAATTAATTATATAAACACAATGTACAAAAGTGATTGAATAAAATGTACATGAATAAATAGATTGAAACAATTGTATAGATCAAGAAATTTTAAAAATTATGCACAGTGGTAAATATATTGTATCATTCTCAACAGTGGGTTATGACTCATTGTGACTGACCTGGCAGAAAAAAACTGCTCCATAGGCTTTTCTTTGGCTATAATCGATATGGAAGCAGAGTGCCAAGCATCATGTGGATGTGAATGCCCAACTTTTTATTGCTTGGCCACCAAACTACTTACACTACCAGGATTCCTTTGTAAACACATCTCTTTTACTGCTGTGGAGTAGAACCAAGCAATAGCTAACCATCCACAGTACATTTCCCAACGCTGTCAATCACACAAACATGCTCATCTTTCTCTGAAGAGCCACTGGATTATTTGAACACCAGAGAGACATGTCCTTTGGGTTAGTAGCATAAATCTCTATACATTAGCAAGAAAAGATGGTTTTGAGATGGAAAACTGGGTTTTAAATTTTTTCACTAGCCATTTATCGCACAAAATCTTCTTTAACAAAGTATTTGCTAAAATAGAAATGGGTGTGGCTTACTTCAGATTCCCCCAAATGCTTAAAATGTTTCTCCTAAAAAATCCATTTTATCGGCGGAGCCCGGCTCTCTCAACTAAAGATGGCCGACGAGAGTGAGACAGCAGTGAAGCCACCGGCACCTCAGCTGCCACGGATGATGGACGGGAACGGGAACGGTCATGAACATTGCAGCGATTGCGAGAATGAGGAGGATAACCGCTACAACCGGAGTGGTTTGAGTCCAGCCAATGACACTGGAGCCAAAAAGAAGAAAAAGAAGCAGAAAAAGAAGAAAGAAAAAGGCAGTGAGACTGATTCAGCCCAGGATCAGCCTATGAAGATGAACTCTTTGCCAGCAGAGAGGATCCAGGAAATACAGAAAGCCATTGAACTGTTCTCCGTGGGCCAGGGGCCTGCCAAAACCATGGAAGAGGCTAGCAAACGAAGCTAACAGCCTGTCCCCAAATTGGGAGAGGTAGTGAACACCCATGGCCCTGTGGAGCCAGAGAAAGACAACATCCGACAGGAGCCCTACACCTTGCCCCAGGGTTTCACCTGGGACGCCTTGGACCTGGGGGACCGCGGGGTGCTGAAAGAACTGTACACACTCCTGAATGAGAATTATGTAGAAGATGATGACAACATGTTCCGATTCGATTATTCCCCAGAATTTCTTTTGTGGACTCTCCGGCCGCCTGGATGACTTCCCCAGTGGCACTGTGGGGTTCGAGTGGTCTCCAGTCGGGAACTGGTTGATTTCATCAGCGCCATCCCAGCAAACATCCATGTCTATGACACAGAGAAGATGGTAGAGATCAACTTCCTGTGTGTGCACAAGAAGCTACGCTCCAAGAGGGTTGCTCCAGTCTTGATCCGAGAGATAACTCGGAGTGTTCACCTGGAGGGGATTTTCCAAGCTGTTTACACTGCTGGGGTGGTGCTGCCAAAACCTGTTGGCACCTGCAGGTACTGGCATCGGTCCCTAAATCCTCGAAAACTGATTGAAGTCAAGTTCTCCCATCTGAGCAGGAATATGACCATGCAGCGCACCATGAAGCTATACCGACTGCCAGGGACTCCCAAGACAGCTGGCTTACGACTGATGGAGAAGGAGGACATTCCAGTAGTGCACCAGCTCCTTACCAGGTACTTGAAGCAGTTCCACCTCGCACCAGTCATGAGCCGGGAGGAGGTAGAGCACTGGTTCTACCCCCAGGAGAATATTATCGACACTTTTGTGATGGAGCGTGCAAACAGTGAGGTGACGGACTTCCTGAGCTTTTACACCCTTCCCTCCACCATCATGAACCATCCAACGTTCACACAACGTTTCTACAACGTTCACACCCAGACCCCTCTTCTGGACCTCATGAGCGATGCCCTTGTTCTCGCCAAAATGAAAGGGTTTGATGTGTTCAATGCACTGGATCTCATGGAGAACAAAACCTGACTGGAGAAGCTCAAGTTTGGGACTGGGGATGGCAATCTGCAGTATTATCGCTACAATTGGAAGTGCCCCAGCATGGGGGCAGAGAAGGTCAGACTGGTGTTACAGTAACTGGCCTCCAGTGACATTCTAGATGAAGCCACTGAGAATTCAAACCAGGAAATGGAACCCCACCACTTGTGGTCCGACTTTCACAAATGTGAGAATCCCTGGC